TATGGATCTTGAGGTGGAGGAGGCCTGGAATTATTTTAAGTTAAAGTTGCAGAAGCTGTCAGAAGCCTGTATCCTTAGAAAAGGGGAAAAAATTATAGGCAGGTGTGTTAGACCAAGCTGGATGAGCAAGCATCTCAGAGAGGTGATTAAGAAAAAGCAGAAAGCATATAAGGAGTGGAAAATGGGAGGGATCAATAAATAAAGGTACCTTATTGAGGTTAGAGCATGTAGGGATAAAGTGAGAAAGGCTAAAAGTCAGGTAGAGTTGGACCTTGCAAAGGGAATTAAAACCAATAGTAAAAGGTTTTATAGCCATATAAATAGGAAAAAAACAAAAAAAGAAGAAGTAGGACCGCTAATTACTAAGGATGGAGTGGAGGTTAAGGATAATCTAGGAATGGCCCAATATTTGAACAAATACTTTGCTTGGAAATTCAAATCCCGGGCTTCATTTGCAAGTGCGGTATGCCTACATTACCCCGCTAGTTCGAACTAGCGGGGTAGTGTAGACATACCCTCAGAGACTTTGTGAGGCAAGAGGGAGGGAAGAAAGAAACCCTAGATATCAGACTGCTCAGAAAGGAGCTCAAACTTGAATTTCATAGGCCAGATGCTCTGCAGATTTAAATTAGCAGTATGACTTTATAGGATTCTCTGCATCTTGGGGTCTTCAAAGTATTTGAAGGCTTCAATATCTGAGATATAGGTGAGAGGATTATTCTAGGAGGGGTGGGTGAGATTTTGTGGCCTGCACTGTGCAGGGGGTCAGACTAGATGATCATAATGGTCCCTTCTGACCTTAAAGTCTATGAGTCTATGTCATGGGAGGGGGGAGGGGAGAGGGGGAATGAAAGCATGGGGAGGCAAACTGAGGACAGCAGCTTCAGCAGTATTACTGAGCATACTCAGTACAAATCAAGCACCAAAGGGGGGGACCAATTCCTTCCGCCTTCCCCCTACACACACATCATCTGTATCCCAGGGCTACTAAGGCACTGGAAAACTCTGCTTTTTTGGCAGACAACTTAGCAGTTAGCTAACAGGAGCACTGAATCTAATTCATATATAAAAGAAAGACAATTAAATATTAGTCCCACTCTGCTCTACACTAACATTCTGACATCTTATGGCAAGTCACTTAAGGAACACTTCTTAAAACCTTGTACTCCAAGTGGAGCATAGGTCATCCATAAGTCTCCTCCACTTGAGACAAAACTTCTAGTTGACTCCAGGAGTACCCCAGTTGTTGTCCTTCATTCTCAGCAGATCTTCTCCACATTGTTCAAGGTCTTTTGCGTTTTCCTTGCAGGTTCCATGTGAGAGCTTGACGGACTATGCTGGATGATGGTTTTCTGAGAGTGTGGCCTAGCCATCCCCACTTTCTTTTCTTACTTAGCCTTAAAATGTTAATGTATATTCTTACTTAGTTACTAACTCTGGGAAGAGGGAGAGACCCTGTCAGGACTCCTGGGTTCTCTCCCAGCTCTGGCAGGGAAGTTGGATCTAGTGGGCAGATACGTTTCAGCTCTATATAAGAGCATCAGAATGGCCATTCTGGGTCAGACTAATGGTCCTTCTAGCCCAGTGTCCTGTCTGTCGTCATTGGCCTATGCCAGGTATGTCAGGAGGAATAAACAGAAGAGGCAATCATCATAATCCATTCCACGTCATTCATTCCCAGCTTTTGGCAAACAGAAGGTAGGAATATCATTCCTGCCCAGTCTGGCTAATAGCCATTGATGGACCTATCCTCTTTGAACTTATTATGTTCTTATTGGAACCCTGTTATAGTTTGGTTCAATAGTTAACCCTCAATATTCAGTTAGCTTTTTAGTTTTCAAACTGGCACTGAACACAGAGCAGAATTTTTCAAGGAACTATCCACAAGGATTCATAGATCTTTTTTAAGAGGTAAAAGCTGTTTTAGACCCCAGCATTTTTGTATCTATATTTAGGAATATATTTTCTCGTGTGCATTATTTTGCACTTATCGACCCTGAATTCCATCTGCCTTTGTGTTGCCCAATCATCCAGTTTTGTGAGATCCCTTTGTAACTTTGCAGTCAGCTTCGGAGTACAGGCAGTCCCCGGGTTACATGGATCCGACTTACATCGGATCCCTACTTACAAACGGGGTGAGGCAACCCCGCACTAGCTGCTTACCCCCAGCAGACCAGGGAGACGCGAAGCTAGCGCCCCACCCAGCAGACCAGGGAAACGCGGAGCGGCTTTTCTCAGCAGACACCTCAGCTTGAGAATAAAGGACTGAGGGAAGTGAGGTGTGGGAGAATAAAACTGAGCTCTGGAGAAACGTTTGGCTAGAGTTTCCCCTACAATATGTACCAGTTCCGACTTACATACAAATTCAACTTAAGAACAAACCTACAGTCCCTATCTTGTACGTAACCCGGGGACTGCCTGTAGTTACTGTTTACCCCTTTTTCAAGAACATATATGAGAAGTTTAACAGCAGTGATTTAAATGCAGATCCCTGAGCACAACATTTTTCCTCCCTATCTTTTACATGGAATACCCGGCAATGTTTTCATGATGATCCTATGATCCTTCAATTACCTGAATAACCAGCTGTTTGTTATTCTTAATCACCTTCTCCCTCCCTCTTTTTTTTTAAACAAACTCTCTGTCCCAAAGGCAAAGCTGCAAACAGCCCAAACTGTTGCATTTGAGAACTGCCTCTGGAGTCAGGGTGTGGGCTTTAAGCAAACCTCAATCATGAAATCCAGGGGTTCAAACTTAGGAGGGAAGGCTACTGCCCTCTAGATTCCCCCTTTCCTCCCCCACCCCTTCATCCTCAAAGTACTGCACAGACATTACCTAGACATACTTCTGCACATACACAGCATGGTTCAATCAGTAGACTGGACTTGGAAGTAGGGACCTGAAACACCTAAGTTTTTGTCTTGGCTTTTGTCCCCAACTCAAATGACCCCGAGCAAATCATTTAATTTCTCTATGCCTCTATTTTCACTTTGAAAAAGAGTGCATATCATCTATCTGGCAAGGCTATTGTAATGTTGTTGCTTTGAAATGATTGTTCTCCCAATTTTACGGAAGGGAAACTTGGGGCAGAGATATAAACAGAAGTGTAATCCTTTAAAGAGATTTCTACAACATATGCTGGATTATAACTTCATTTGTGGATAAAGCTTTGCTGATTTTTTTTTTAACAATGCAACCACCACTGACCAGTAGATGGCAAAGTTATACTGCTCTTGGTGAGCAATGATTCAGGTAGATCATCTGAATAACAAAGATTAAAATTAAATATTGTTAAGTGTCTCAAGATAAAGTAAGAATGAACTATTGGCATGATTAAACAAATAATAGAAACAACTGATTGACTGAGTTAAATTTATATCAGAGTTTCTTGATTCACAATAGTGAACTGAAACACAAACTTGAAACAAACAATAGGCAGAAAACCACGACTAGACTGGCTATGTCTACACTTGCTTATTTACTCTAAATTTCCCAAGCGTGGTAAGTAATGGCGGGAATGCCACTGTAGAGCAGCCTTTGGATTTTTAACCGAGAGGTGGGAAAACAGTGATTAAAGTCCTTTGTCCTCACTAGTGCCTTCACCACTATGACAACAACTGGGTGGAAAACAACTAGTTTGCCTTTGAGAACAATCCATTCATTCTGAGGCCAGGTCTACATTAGAGCTGGACGGTCGGGTTAAGGCATGCAATTCCAGGTATGTAAAATAAGTAGCTGGAGTTGACTTACCTTAAGCCAAACTTGGCACAGTCTTCACAGAACAAATGCAACTGACCAGAGCTGCCCTCAGCGTTCAACTTAGTTAGTCTTAAATAGACTCACTAAATCAAACACCAGAAGATTGATCTCCAGCACATCATGTGGAGACATGGCCTGAGTTGTAATTATGACCAGAATACAACTTGAATTCTGTCTTCGGGGCTAAAATTTCAAAGGCACCTTAAGAAACTTAGTTGTGTATATTCCATTTAAAAGTAGTCACTTGTTAAAATTTTATCCTAACATCTTATCTGAGGTAAAACTGATTTTCATTACTTGGGTTTCATCATGGTTCATTCTTACATGAATAGAGTCTGCTCACCCAGAAAACAATACAGATATGTACCTCAGTTTTCTTGCTTGTTTTCCCTAACAGCTGCCTTGGATTTAACTCTGTGTAGTCAGGCAGAATATCAACAAGCAGATAAAATGAAGTACATATAATATTGATAAAAATAATCCAGATATCTTCCTCATTCTCCATAGCAGGGATAAGAGTTTTAAAACATGTTTAAACCCCCATGCTTAAACATGGTGATACTTAATTTCCACTGGGCAGGCAAATTGTAGTTACGTTACCATGACCAATAGTTATCTCCAGTTCAGCTGCAGTAGTATAGTTTTGGACTTAGCCATTCTAAAAATGCAGCTATATCAAGAAACTTGGTTACAACATAGGTTGTCCTCTAAATTAGTTTCAGTGTGATTCTATGGTTAGTAGTGCCCTTATGCCTACCTATAAAATAAGGAAAAACAAGAAACTGAAATTACGGGATTGAACCTGCAACTAGAGCCACACATTTGGATCCCTGCACCAATGCAGATCCAGTCTCAGGTGTAGGGCCTAAGTTGCAAATGGACAGAAAAAAAGGCATGTATCTTTAGCATAGATGGAGCCTGCAGATGTAAGTAAATATATTTTCCTACTACAGTTTATATTCCCTAACATTATGACATTGCCTTGCAAAAATGTCTTTATGTACTTTCATGCACTATCACAATCTGTTTTAAATCCCAAAAATTGTTTCATGCTTAAAATAATGGTTTGAAATGAACCATAGTATTTCAGATAAATCTTCTATTGTATTATTTTCAAAAAAGAACTGGAACGTATCCTTTTTTAGTTCACTAACAATCTATTTAGAAAACAGACCAAAATCTTTCATGGTTGTGTAAACTTTTTTATCTTGTATCCGGTTTACTGTTAGTGACTGAGCCTCTTCCTGCATATTGGGTTTTGATACTGATGGCATCTATACAAAATTGAAAATACACATGTTCTATATGAAATGTGTTTCTTTCATGTATATTTTATAAAAGCATCAGCGCCTTACCTGACCCTTGTTTAATGACAGAAGCAGATGGAGGTGGTGGTTTCTTAGGTCTCTAAAATCAAGGAAAATCAGAAAACAGATTGCTTGTAAACACTTGAACTCACACAAACGTTTGATGTAATCAGATAGTACTTACAGTGAGAATTACATGTCCTGTCAATCACAAATTTCACAAGTACTAAATTTATTTAAAAGATTTTCAGGAAAGAACTTGTAATTGAGTAATAATTTGCCACTTCACTATTTTTATACTTGAAATCTCTTTCAGAAAAATGTTCATCATTAAGTGACTACTGATTAGTTAAAACAATGGCCTTTTGAATACTGAAGTAGCCTTTGCAATTAAGATTTAATCTTGTAAATATCCAAAGACATTTTTAAAAATGGGTAGGCTATCCAGGAGCTGAAATGTTTCTTACACTATGTTGAAACAGAAATGCAAGACACAGGAAATACTACAAAGGTTACATTTAGTCATTTGCCAATATATGGTTGTTATCCCATTTGTGAATATCTGCAAGCAGTTATTAAGGCTTCCCATTCTTGATTAAACAAAGCTAATTATTTGCATTGAGAGCCTATTATTCATCATTTACTCTTATTGTATCTGCTATCACCATCCTTCCTACTATAACTAAAACACTTTACATGTTAAACAAACATGATCATTGAATTAGTTCCAGATCTCTTTTTCTTCTCTATTATGTAGATTAGCTCTGGGTGGTGTTTCCTTTTGTGTGCGCGCGCATGTGCACCATATTGACGTACGCTGTAAATGCCTTGGAGTGAATGCAAAATGAAACGGGGCATATGACATGCTAATTTAACTCCACACTTAGAATAAAAGGTCAAACCTGTTGAGAATGAAACTTTTTATACAGATAGTTCTTATGTTCTTATCTATAGATATAGATAAAGATGTATATCTATGTATAGATATGTATATATAGATATAGAGAGAGAAAGAACATTTACCTAGTGTTGCTCGGATCCTTAAGGAGGTCCTCATGGCAAGGGGCTGGAGATGTGGGGGGTGGGCAGGCACGAGAGGTAAGGAGGGGATCTGGGCAGGGGACTGGGTGTGCATAGGGCAGGCTGAAGCATTCCAGATTCGTACCAGGATTCTAGCTCTTCCCCTTCCTATACCTATCGGGGAGCAAGAACAACGTGCACAGCTCATCTGGCCCCTGCGCGCTCCAGCCAGAATGAGGAAAGCAGCAAACTGTGCACTTTCCTCTCACTCTTTGACAAAGGGGAACAGCCAGCAATGTCCACCTGTATGAATCTGGGGAGGGAAAGGAAGCTCAGGGTTGGGGCAGTTCTGGATAGTAAGGGATGCCCCCAGCCAGCCCCTTTCATCTGCCTGGTGACTGTCTCTCTTTTCTGTATGGTTTTATGAGAAGCAATGCCATTCCAGGCACATACCATTTTTCTGGAACTACCGAACCCTTACCTTGCTTTAAAGTTATGATAAGAGGAAGCTGTATAACAAATTAGGAGTTCTTCTATAAACAGACAAACGCTCAGATATATAGTAGATATATTTCTATTTACACACACACACACACATATATAGAAAGAAATACAGATACTATCTCTGGTATTCCTCATTCCTGATGATTATTATTCCTACTTAATCCCTAGCAACCTAATGATTCCAGAAAAAAAGCCATTACCTTCTTGACTAAGGAACACTGTTGGGACACCTTTATTATAGGTGGAACTGGTAATGCCACTTATTAAGGTTGCCTGATACAACTCATTACAAGACCATGTTTTCAGTTGCTTATAACTTCAGAGCTGAATTTTTTGAGGGAAGTTGAACAAAAATTATTCAAAATTCAGCAAAGTTACAAGCCTGTGAAATAAAAATCACCATTCACGGGTGCTTAGTAAAGATTTACTAAAGCTAGATATCTACAGCAGAGGTGGGGAACCTCAGGCTTGGGGCGACATGTGGCCCCCAGTTTTCCTGGATCCATCTCCTAAGGCTCAGGGCTCCCCTCCAGCAGTGGGGAGTCCACGCTGACACTCCATTCCCTCCCTCTCACCCCCTACTGTCCCACCATGGGGCTGGTGCACACAAAATCTGCTAGCCTGGGCCCTCAGAATGTCTTTCTCCTTCTCAGTCAGGCACCACGTCAGTGAGATTTTGGGGGGGGGGGTTGTCTCACTTGTCAGCAGACTAAAAAAAAGGTTTCCCACCCTAGAACTACAGTCTCTGAGGATTCCATTCTCACTGAATATGGTCAATTCCCTCACAGCTCTTACATCCAACGACAGTAGGTTCACCATCCCCGTAGAGTAACTGAGTATATTCCAATCCAAGAATGATGGGGTTCAAAGGCCTTCTCTGTAGTGGCTACTCTAGGGCAGGGTAAGGCAGGACACTGTGCTGGAAACAAAAATGATTAGGGGTTTGGAACAGGTCTCAAATGAAGAGGTTAAAAAGACTGGGACTTTTCAGCTTAGAAAAAAGGAGTCAAAGGGGGGATATGATAGAAGTCTATAAAATCATGGCTGGTATGGAAAAAGTGAATGAGGAAAAGGTATTTAGTTGTTCACATTACATAAGAACTAGAGGGTCACAAAATGAAATTAATAGGTAGCAGGTTTAAAACAAACAAAAAAGTTTTTATTCACACAGCACCCGGTCCACCTGTGGAACTCCTTGCCAGAGGGGGTTGTGAAGACTAAGGCTTTAACAGGGTTCAAGAAAGAACTAGATAAATTCATGGAGGTTAGGTATATCAATGACTATTAGCCAGGATGGGTAGGAATGGTGTCCCTAGCCTCTGTCAGAGGCTGCGAATGGGTGACGGGAGAGGGATTGCTTAATGATTCTCTGTTCTGTTCACTCCTTCTGGGGCATCTGGCATTGGCCACTGTCAGAAGACAGGATACTGGGCTAGATGGACCTTTGGACTGCCCCAGTATGCCCAGGCAGCACAGAAGATGAAGCCATCTGATTTGAATACAGAGGGCACAAAGCAGAGGGAGAAAGAAGTACATTGGGCCAAAGAGTCTTATAAGACTGGGACTAGAGGGAAAGGGAGACACCCCTTGATTGTAACAGGGGGGAGACAGACTGGCTAGACAAGCAGATACAGGGAGCCAGTGGCACCAGGACAGACTGTGATTGGTTAAATGGGGCAGTCGGGAGCACAGAGGTGGAAAAGGAACACTAGGGTTGGTAGGGCAAGGAGGCTGGGAGTGAGAGAGCAGGAGGGACTTTGGGGTGGTTGAAGGGGATGAGGTGGGAGGAGGAAGACACTGAGATTGGGTGAGAAAATGGAGGGAGGGTAAGCAGCGGGACTGGAAAGGCAGAGACCCGGACAAATAACTAGGGAGGAGACAGGCTGAGTCCAAGATTGGCTGACGAGCCTGAGGATGGAGGGATGGAGACTGTGACTAGGAGCTAGTGTCAGGCGCATGATGGAAGGAAGCAGACTGCACAAATAGCAGAGAAGAGGAAATGGGGACTGGCTAGAAAGGAGAGTGCAAGTTAAGGCATGGAGGAGCAGACTGGAACTTGGTCTTGAGCCAGGGAGGAGACTCACTGGGCAAACAGTTGAGACTGGGATGAGGAGCCTGAGAATCATCAGATAAGGAGACTTGGGCAGGAGCCAAGGGGTGGGAAAGAAACAGAGGTGGCACAGAGACTGGTTGGAACAGATAAGTCAGAAGGCTCAAGCATGGAGGTTTGAACTAGGGATGTGAACGACTAGTCAACTATCTGATAAGCAATTGCTTATTGGATAGTCAACACACTAGCCACTTCCCCCGCCCCCTCTTGTTGCCTTTATCAGAAAGAGACAGCAAGGGGGTGGGGAGAGGGACGGAGCTGACCCCGAGCCCCACATGGCGCTGCCACTTTGGAACGGCGCTTGCAGCTTGGGGCCAGCGGGGGACTGCTTGAGTCCCCACTGGCTCTGTGCTCCCCGCAGCACTTTCACCTTTGAAGTGTAGCATCTCTGGGGCTGTTGCTACACTTCAAAGGTGCAGGAGGCTCCCTTATCGACTAGTCGAATAGTTGATGCAATTGGCTCCTCCTAGCTTCATTCCTCTTCCCTTCTCTCCACCCAAGCTCCCTTCCTCACTGCCTTTCCTCCCACGCTCTCATTCCTCTTCCCCCACACTTCCATTCTGCACTGGCTTTTCCCCTACCGCACCTCCCTCCCCCATGCTCCCATTTCCCACTGATTCTTCCCACCACCCCATTCCTTTCCTCCCCTATTCCCCACTACTTCTCCCCCTTCTTACCTCTTACCCTCCAGAATGGTGGCCAAGCATATCAGTCTTTAGCTCACCTGGCACATACAGATCTTGTGATGCCGTCTATAACAGTGCCATGCAAATGTCTGTTTTCACTTTTGGGTGATATTGTAAACAAGAAGTGGGCAGCATTATATCCTGTAAACAAACTTGCCTGTCTGAGCAACTGGCTGAAGAAGAAATAGGACTAATTGGACTTGTAGGCATTAAAGTGATACATTATTTTATTTTTGAATGCAGGACTTTTTGTACATAAATCTATATGTACAAGTTTAACTTTCATGATAAAGAGATTGCACTACAGTACTTGTATCATATGAATAGAAAAATAATATTTCTTTTTTTTTTGAAGTGCAAATATTGGTAATAAATAAATATAAAGTGAACGCTGCACCTGTAGTCTGTGTTGTAGTTGAGTGCAATATATTTGAAAATGTAGAAGACATCCAAAATATTTATTATTTTTAACAGTGTGATTACTCACAATTATTTTTTAATTGCTTGACAGTCCTAATTAAAATCAGTAAAAATTGGGAGAAATGGTTAAAATAGACATTCATATTATCCATCTAAATTAAAAAAAATAAAAATCTAGTTCTGTAAAACTTAATTATAGTCTTACTCTTTGATCACATACTATCATTTCCACCAGACCCTTGCATCATTTAATACACAGGATAGACAGTACTCATTTTATGAACTCCTATGTCTTTTTTTTCTCCTCTTTGTTTAATGTGTGCCAAGTTTTTATTGCACAATGTTCAAACCCTATTCTGAAGGCAAAACAATTTCTTCAAGGGTTCATTAGCATAGGGTTTGAATGCTTCACAAACATTAATGAATTTATATTCGTAATACCCCTTTAAAATTAGAGGATGGTATTATTTCAATTTTACAGTTTATTTGCCCCAAAAATGTCATTTCAAATTGACCAAAACTATTTGCAAATTTGTGCCAAGTTTGCCAAATAGTTTTGACCGGATGGGGGGGAAAAGTTAATACATTTGGATAACATTTCATTTTGATCACATCTGAAATATTTTAACTCGATTTCAGACATTTTGTCAAAAGCAAAGAAAGACTAGATGCTGAATATGGCTAGAATAATGAGGTGGTGAAGCCACTGGCAACTCCCTTATAAGTTTTAACTCAATAGTTAGGGCACCAAATGAGGTGTGGAGACCCAGGTTCAGTTCCCTCCTCTGCGTAATGTGGAGCAGGGAGTTGAACTTGGATTTCCCAAATTGCACAAGAGTACCTTAGTTACTGGGCTGTGAGATATTCTGGCATATACTTGGTCAGTCTTCCCTGAATCTATTCCACTTGTATAATGATTAAAGCAAGATTTTGAAATTGGCCTTCCCACATCCCAGGTGAGTGTCTTAATCACCAAGCTAGAGAGTTTCTCTCACTCTGGCTCCCATCCCAATGACTATGAATTGCCAACTATGTGGTAAACTCAGATATTTTCTGTTTTGCTACTTAACTCTTGACACTGATTACACTAGAAGATGTATCATTCATGACATTAATCCATTCAAGCACTTGTTTCCTAACACTTCCCTCTACTTTAGATGAGCAGAATTGGATAAATTCATATACTCATTTTTGGAAAACACTAATTACACCTGTTCACAGTATTCATCAGTAGATTTCACAGATACTTCAATTACCATGAGAAATAATTACCATCAGTACTGTAAAAATTAAAAATAAAATGAACTATTCAGCTTTAACCACAGCCATAATTAGAGGCCCTGGACATTCTTTATTGGTGTGATGTTCTCATCTCTTCCCTTTTCAGAATTCCCAGTTTTCATTCTCACATTCCAATTAAAGACTAAAATGCCTAGTATGTAAGCACATGCAACACGCACGCACGCGCACACACACACACACACACACACACACACACACACACACACACACACACACACACACACACGTATATGCATGCTATGTCCATGTAAATACTTCTATGTGACATGGAAGTTCAAATAAGAAGATAAAAAAATCCTCTCCAATTTTTCACAACTCTGGAAGCAGAAAGATTCCTGAGGGCATCCCAGAACATACATTTTTCTTATCCAATTAAACAACATATGAGAAGCCAATAAGTTGGCTATTTTGAGGAACTATGGAGTTTTACCTCACTATATATAATGCAGCTCAAGAGACTAGTCAAAAATGCAAAAGGAGGGGACTTTATAGTAGAATTTTAAGAAGACAAATATTTATAGTTTTCAGCATGTGAGGGATGAAAACAAAATTTTTGATGTAGTAAGCATTTGCTAACAAAGACTTGGTATAATGAAGAAAACACACAAGAAGTTTAATCAATATAATTGTATCATTCATGTTCATTTACTTGAAACTAAATTTGTAGATGGATTATTCAGAAGGAAATAAATAGGGAGTGTCTGAATTTTCCTGTGTGAGGTAATCTAAGCTGCAACTTTTCATAAAGAATGGGCTTGCATTTATAGCATGGGATTGTTAAGAGTTTTTTTGACACGTGGGTAAATCATTGAGATTAAAAAATAATGTCAAACTATAGGGCCTAAAGGTGGAAACCTATTTATTTAGGCACCCAAGGGTCCTGATTTTCAGAAGTGGTGAGCAGTTACAAATCCTACAGAGTATCTACAGTCCTCATGTGATAAGAAATTGATAGACTATCACAAATTACTTTGGCCTGTATGCAAGTACTGGTTTGTGGTCATACTGGTTTGTGTTAAATAGAGGGGTCTGACAAACATATTTTCTGAAACACGTAAGAAAATCTCTTGTACAATTTCTTATATAAATGATATAAATGATATTTTAAACAGCTACACTACTTTTAAAAGAGTATAATGTTCTTAGATTTTAAAAAATTTGAAAGTTCCAACAGATGGCTGTACAACAAATGCTGGATATGATAAAACATTTTTCTTCTATTATTTGAAAATTCACCCGTGCATATTTTTTTCAAGGTTCTTTGACCTTTCTAGACATCACCTTTTTTCCATGTCCAGGCGCCATGCTCTTTTCCAGGCTATCCACTTTAATGAGGAATGACATTTTAGTCTGTGAAAGTTTCTGTTGCTCTCACAAGACCCATAATAAATTGCACCTTCATCTTCAATAATTATGCTTCTGAGAGTTGTTTTGTGATTTCTTTATCAAGCTTTCGAAGTTATTTAATCTGGTATCCAATTTTACCATCCGTCCCTTAAGAGCAACTGGCCCTGAATTTTGATTTTATCATTGATGGTTTACATAATCACACTGAACTATAAATCTACAAGCGCATGGTATTACCCTGATGACAGAAGAGTTTCCTGAAAATGGGGTAGTTTCTTTAGAAAGGACGAATCTTCGAGTTCTCTCAGAAAATGTAAGAATTTCTAAATGGTTTTAGGGAAATAAACAACATTGCCTATCTTAAAATAAACAGCAGCAAAAAGAACTTACCCACAGTTTAAAAAAAAAAATGGATTTTGACAGAGCTTAAATGAACATGTCATTAAACAGGCTTAGCTTTCTTCTCTCAAACACATGCTAGAATTTCACCCATTTCTTTCTGGAAGAGTGCTTTAAATTATGGCTTCTGGCAAGACAAAATGACATCTGTCTAAAAGAAGTTGGTAGACTAATGTTTCATACTGTATCACACACACTGTAGACATGTTAATGATTTTGATCATTATTGCACCATAAAAACCGAGCAAATTACACTGTGATATCCAGTCATTTGGTCTCAGATGAACGGAGAATGTAGCACAAAGGCTTTAAGAACAAGATTGTTGAGGTTGGATGACTGGTTTTATGGGCCAGCACAATACCATCCAAGGAATTACATAGTAAGACCTCAAGCTATGAACAGTCCATGGATAGGTGCTGCTGTTATCCAGCACTTTCCCTAACCATTTTTGTTTTATTTTTCTAAGTTTAATCTGTACGAATCACAGAAATCCAGAGAAGAATTTCAGCTCAAATTTCATCCTATATGAAAAGTAAAACAGCGGGAAATAATTACACTTACCTCTTTTTCAAAATCAGGGGGAAGAAGCTTGACAAAGTTATCTGGAAACACTCCACGCCTGCCATTGAGTTCTCCTTCCCACCAGCCTGCATCAATGCAGTCCTACAATACATGGAAGTAAAATGTCAAAAATTAAATGAGTATGCATGCTATATAGATTTTTGGGTTGAAAGGCTGTTAGCCATAGCCTGCTGCCTTTTCACGACAGCAGGACAATTTTCTAGAATTTCAGGTACACAGAGCTCTCTCCTAAATAAAAGCTACAGTAATCACTCTGGCTCATGTTGTGTGGAGCAAAGAGGAAAGAACAATAAATGTAAGTGTTTAATCAAGTTTGGTTGGGCTTAAAGCAAAATGCTATGATTTGATACATTAACCCAATAAGACCTTTTGGCAGACATGATATTACTTTTTTCTGATTTAATTTTAGAGAAATAAAATAATTTTATTAAACAAATACATTTTAGAATGCACTCTACGCAGTAAAAAGTGTCCTTGGTTTTAATACGAAGAGTGTAAACATGAAGACATGTAAAACCTCTTCAAACAGACTTTGATACAATAACTTACAATTATTCAATTTGATCACAAGCCCATTCGAACTGTTATATGTGGGTTCATTCTTTATCACCGCCAGTCAATGATTAGTAATATGTTTACATGCACCCAGAAACTTCTATAAGGCATCATCTTCTGCAGCATTCCATGAATAACACAATCTAGTGTGTACAACAAAATTCTACTAACGTGGTGACAACAAAAACACTAAGTTATGACATGATTAGTTGACTCCAGCTGGAGGCACAGGTTAATTCTTAGGGTTGCCAGATGGTTTAACTAAAAATACCAACAGCACCCCCCCCTCAAAAAAAAAAAACCCACCAGGGAAAAAATTCTGCTGAGAAAAAAAAAGGGGGGGGGGGGAACCAAGCATGGCCCCTTTAAGAAAAGCCTTTGAAGCTTTGTGCCGGCAGTCATCTTGTTTTCCTGATCAAGCCAGAAGACAGCTTCCCTGCAGAACCAGGTAAGCAGGGGGGTCCAAAGGCATCAGGAGGTCCGAGGGAGGGGGAGGGGAAGGGGGGAGGAGGAAAGTCAAGGGCTGGGCCCGTTTGCTGAGTGCGTGTACAGTTGCCAGGTATCTGGTATTTTCACCTCCTGGCAGGGGGAAAACAAAAAATCAGAAAATACCAGACATTTTAGGTGCCCAGTATTTTTTGAATTTTTTTTTTGCCAGACAAGAGACAAAAATACTGGACTGTCCGGGTCAATATTGGACACCTAGCAACCCTACTAATCTATATAAAAAAGGTATCTTGATAATGAACAGCAATAGCGAGATAGAAAAAGTATGACAATTTAACAAGTTTTTTTTATTTATTATTAATCATTATTATTATAACTAAAATGGTAGACACTGTTGTTCATATGAAACATATGTTTGCCATATGAAACAGTTCAGACTAAAATTTTCCATGCTGGGTGTCTGCCTCAAGCTGAGTTTTCTTTAAAAGTTTCAGCTAAAATGGTTCATTCATTTTAAAAAATGACATTAGGGAAAAATATGTTGTTTTGCTCATATTAAAATGTATTATAGCTTTTGGACTGTGAATCTCTACTCTCCCCTCCCCCTCAGTGTTTTGGAGCTAGGGCTTGATATTTGGCAAAGGGCTGCTCTGAGTTGGGGGTGTGCCTTTTGCTGACCCTGTGAATATTCACCCACATTTGGGCATGTTAAAAGCCTCTGGAAAAATCATGCATCTCACATACCCAGTAGACACTGAGGTAAATTCTCTGAAGACAGAGTCTATCTGCAGTGAGAATAATCCAAGGCAGGCCTGCGGAGACTTTCATGTCAGTTGTTTCTCCTATCTCCCCTTGGTGAGGCCTAGGCAGCATGGAGGAGAAAGATGAAGCAGCCTAACTGGAATGCAGTGGGGTGGGAACAGAGGGAGAAATAAGAACAGAGGGGAAGGAATATAGGAGATGTTGAAGTGGCCTGAGAAATGAGTGGGAGGTAATCCATGTTCAAAGAGGAAAGGGGCAGGAGCCAGGGGAGGGAGTTCATGAAGAGGCACGGAGTGGAAGTGTGGCAGAAGCCTCAGAGGGTCTGATGGGAGAAGAGGGGGACAGGAACATGCTAGGGTCACAGGATCAGATCTGTCTGCAACCACTAGAGAACACTCTCTCCCAGGGATCCTGAAACTCTACATTCTTCTGCTGTCAGTACTGTGAAACCCACTGACAAAAGTGTCTCGTCCCGGTCAAATGTCTGGTTCACATCAAATATAACCATCTCCCTCTGCTAGCAGTTACTAAGTTAACTTAAGTGGGAGAGGCCTTTTAGGTGGATGTGCAGTTCAAAGGCCGTTGATTAGCCAACCTGAGAGTCAGTATGATTCCACATGATAGAATTTTTTAAAACTAGGAAATGACTTAAAAAAAAAACTATAGTAAGAGAACATTGAGGTCTTTAATTACACAGCCCTATTTTTCACAGGATGGATAGTCCTCCAGGAATGAACTGGTGTCAGGTAGTCAATTAAGCTGCTGCCTGGAGGACCCTGCCTCATTTGTCACAGAATTTAGAGGTGTGTAAGACAAGGGACTGCAGGAAGAAAGAGGATAGTCTTATGATTATGGTTGTGTGTCTGCATCAGCCACACAGTTTCCACGTGATACTGAGCAAGCCATTTAAAATGTTCATGATGAGCCACTAATTGTGTGTTCCTCGTTTTCTGGGTGCCAAACATGAGAATCCTGGGGACTTATTTACAGAAGTACCGAGCACTCACAGCTGCAAATGAAGTAAACGGGAGGTGTACTTTTGTAACCACCACCAGGTGGATCTGAACCTGGGACTTCTGAAGAGGAGTATAGGAGCCTCCATCCTCTGAGCTAAAAGCCAGCTGGCTTCCAGCTCCTGCTGTAGAGGTCTCTTGATCTTAGCTGTTGTTGTGGTCTAGGTGTGTGGGTTACAGTTTGAACATACAGTGCTATACAGTAAAACACCAAAGGTCCAGCACTCCTGATGGTCCGGCACTCCTGATGGTCCGGCACCATCAGGAACCCAGAAATGCTCCGGGCAGCCAGACCATTGGAGCTGCTCTGCCCCCAGCTTCCCCGATTCAGCCACTGCTAAAATTGACCAGCGGCTGAATCGGGGACGCCTAGGGCAGAGCAGCTGGGGCGCTGCCCGGTTGGTCCCACAGCGCTGCCCCTCGGGGCTGCGAGACCCAACCCGGCAGTGCCCCAACTGTCCCCGATTCAGCCGCTGCTGAAACTGACCAGTGGCTGACTCCAGGAAGCTGGAGGCAGAGCTGCTCTGCCCTGGCTTCCTGGAATCAGCCCCTGATCAGTTTCAGCAGCAGCTGACTTGGGTACACCTGGGACAGAGCAGCTGGGGTACCGCCAGGTTGGTCTTGCAGCGCCAAGGGTTGGCACTACCAGACCAACCCGGCAGCGCCCCAGCTGCTCTGTCCCAGACATCTGGATTCAGCCGCTGCTGCAACTGACC